AGCGACCCTGTTGAATCGGCGTAGTATAGTCCTCGACCGTGTCGCGGATAGCGGAGGTGATCTCGTCGCGGGAGGTATAGGGGAAGCAGATGTTTAGGACGCGGTCTCCGTTGCGGCTGGTCATGTCGACGGCCTTGTTGACGGCCTCCAAAACGTCGGGTTTGAGCATGTCAAGACGGCCCAGGACACGAACCTTTGCTCCGTATCGATCGAGCAGATCTCCGTGTTGAGCCATCTGCGACAGCTTCACCTTGGCCATTTCCATAAGCGCATCCACCTCGAATTTTGAGCGTTTGAAGTTCTCGATGCTGAACGCGTAGATTGTGACTACCTTCACTCCACTCTTGTAGCAGACTTCGAGGATCTATCAGTCGTTAGCATTGGCCCCAAAACGGGTGCTGCCGTGTAACGCCGAGCTGCCAAAGTGTGGCACTCACTCTTGCAAGAGCTTCAAACCCCAGATTATGTCCCTCCACTGTCTCAATTCCATGTGATCGGGCAAAGCGCCTGTTTCCATCCATGACAAAAGCCACATGCTGGGGGACAGGGCCCTGTTGGAGTGCACCGATCAGCAATTCCTTAAGGCTCGTGATGGCGTACTCGGCAGGCGGAGAGGCGAGGAACCAGTTCCGGAGGCGTGACATATGCAGTGAACCAGGCATGATGAATATGTGAAAAGGCTATAATCCCCCCTAAGCTCCGCAGAAAAATTGAGGAGTTGGGGTAGAGACTGGGATACGGGGTTGAAGATAAAAGGTGCACGGTTAGCGGCTGGCCGGATTCGGTTTTGTAGTACAAAACGCGACGTGGTCAGTTATGAGGACAGTGACAATTTTTAGCATAACATTGAGGCGATGCAATGAAATAGCCTAGGCTGCACTATTTTCATGTGCAATTTTAGATTCTAAGGGGGCTTTTTTCTCTTTTGCCCCCCTGCTGTTAACGTCTGTGTGGCGAGGCAAAAATGACCTCGGGAATCATCAGCCAAGATTAGGCCCCGGGCAATAGCCAACTTCAATAATAATTGGTTAATGGATGATATAGAAGTACAGGAATGGGAATAATATCCGCCTTATAATAAGATCAGCCTTATCACTCCACAGTAATACAAGGCGGAAAATAGAAGCGGACCTTTCTATGTATAGGGAAACAGGCAACATATCTCGTATAGAAGGAGCCCCTGCTGCTATTCTGTCTGATTTCTGGGGGAATTATATAACTTATGTATCTATTCCAAGGCTACATGTAGTAACGATTGTACTAATTACGCGTATTATGTAGATTTCAACAATAATTAGTTGTCAGGTCCATGGATTGTTTGATGACATTCATAATCATAAAAAAAAACAGAGGATATCTTGCATGGTTATATAAGAGCAAATACGTACACAGCTTCGCGCCGAACACCGTGGTTGATGGTCGGGATGATAAAGGATTAAATGACCAATGCAGTACACATCTCAAAGATCTTTTCGGGACTCCTCGGTGCTGGATGGAGTTCCAGGGCCTGAGCTGGCCATATCCCAGCTCCCATCTTCACTGCGACGCCGACGACGTTCTCCGCGCTCCCTCATGGCATCACGGATCCGCGAACTGACGTCCTCAAGCGGGTCTTTGTGGGTGAGAGCGCTGAGCGGCTTCAATCCGTGCCCAGACCCGGATCGGGCACTAGCAGATCTGCTGCGGCTACGGTCACGACTAGGAGGTCGTGTGGAGAAGAAACCAATATTGGCCAAGTTGTGGAAGGACTCGTTGCGGGGCAAGGGCTCTGAAGAGGGCATTTTCTCACCATGGTCCGATACGCTGGTTCTTCTGATCTCCGGCAGTTCATGTTCGGCCTTGGTATCGGCATTGCTCGCTTCTCGGAATGGATCGGTGACAACCCGAGCGGCGTCAAAGTCGGGGAATAGCTCAGGTCCCATGGTATTGATCGCGTCTGTCACTTGCTGAGCCAGTGCAGCGCGTCTTTCTCGAAGTTTCACCAGCGTGTTGGCCGATGATGGGTTCAGAGACAGAACAAGCGGGCGTAGTGACTTGATGATGTCCATGCCTACTTCGCCGATCCGAAGAGCCGCAAACGTGATTGTGGGGAAGAGCACCATACCGACAATTACCACCAACCAAAGTGGCACCCAATCTGGAACCATTCCATTGACTCGGTTCCAGTACGTCCAATAAGTGAGGGAAGCAGTGTAAAAGGCATAAAGTGCTGGAGCAAATGCAAGGGCAATAAGAAGCTTCCAGGTGGCCATGACATCTCGGCCTTGAAGTTTCACCGTAGAAGCAGCCAGTGCTTCCTTGGACTTCTTCGCGGAGAGGTACTTGGTCGCAATGAAAACGGGGGTAAAGAGCAGGAGACCGGGAAGGGTCCCGATTGTCAAGAGTGCCAGTTTGCCTAGGCGGTAGATCAACGTGGCCACCACCTGCAAGATGGAGAACTTGGCGTAGGCCACTTGGTGATCCCGGATCCCGAGAAGGCGAAGCTGTTTGTTATATCCTACAATAGACTTGCGCAGTTCAACGATCCGGGGATCGTCCTTGAAGTGGGCGTACCCTTTCACGAGACGGCGATTCAGCTCCACAACCATAGGAAGAGGAAGATTTTTGCCTTTGGTGTTGTACAGACGACGGGCAGCTTGAATGACCTTTGAATTGTTAGCGGAAGTATATATCCCGAAATGGGAAGAGACTTACCATAAGGGTTTCATAATCGGGACTAGTGACAGTGACCGAGACGAGACTTCCGTAGATGATATCCAGTAAAGCACCGACAGACTCCCGTCGTTCACCTTGCTTGAACTGCTCCACTAATTCCGGAGGGATATCAATTGGAGTACCAAACTCGATAACGGCCCTGGAGCGGAACTTGTGGGCATGGAAATAGTTCATGCCGCAGGGCACGATTTTCAAACCACAGTCCGGGTTCTCAGCCAGGGTGCCTAGAGCCATCAGGGCGACACCAGCTGTATCATATCAGTAAGTCTGTAAATATCTCGGACTCTCAAACACGAAGAGCTTACCTTTCAGGGGAAGCAGTGTGGTGCGATCATGGCTTCCACCTTCCGGGAAGATACCCACACAGCCACCAGTGCCTAGTCTTTTGAATACTGCCTCATAGACTGCGGTCTGATCCACATGCGGAGCAACCTTGAATTTGGTGCCCTTGAAATCCGGATCCTGCGCGGATGCATCTCCAGTGAAATTTCCATCACGGTCAATGTCTTGCCGTCCAGTAAGCTGGGCTAGCGCATCCCTGTGCTTGAAAGCCTTCTTGAGCACTAATTCTTCCGGTCCTCTGATCTCGGCGATCGCGGTACTGTGTGACGTTCCGTTGATGGTGGGTAGGGCAATAGTTCCGTCCTTTTCGAAACCCTTTCCTTCAAAGTTGGTTCCCACACCTCGCAGCAAGGTTGGCTGGTTGATCGGGTCAGGAAGATAGATGGTGCCGGTGCCGGGTTTCAAGTTGTCCATAGCACGTGCCACGGGCAGTGTCCCAACTGATCTCGCCAGAAATCCGATGAACTTGCGTTTGAAAGACTTGTCCGCAATAAGCCATGAGATCCGACGTTGCGCTTCGCTGCGAATGACGCGCATCAATACCAAGGAATCGACGAACTGGGCGAGCATTCACCATTAGCATCTTGGGTGTGTTGGACCGGAAGCGGGCGGCATACCTGGTTCGCATGGGGAGCTGCCACCAGAATGATGGGACCGCGGCGGGGGATTTTCCATGAGCCTCGGGGGTGAACTTCGCGGAAGAAGAGGTCGATGAGCACGGAGAATGTCCAAAGGACCAAATCATACATCCACCCAACGAGGGGTGGGATGTACTGGCCTTTTTCTCCCATTGTGCCGTAGAAGCCCAATGGGCAGTTTCCGGGAGGGAAAGTAGGCTGGAGGTCGTAATAAGGGTCGTGGAAAGCTTATGATCTCGACATGAAGTCCCTGGAGAAAAGATGAACGTGAGTACCTAGTTAGCCGGAAGAGCTTGGGATCCACATACTTGGCTGTTTCGAGCCTCGGATCACCACAGACTATCCAATATAATTGATAGAGAGTCAGAACATGAGATCAAGGGAGGAACATAAGAAGAGGGGAAGTGGAAGTTTGCATGTGGAAGGTTTGAGTGTTAGCGCGCTTTGACTCGGACGCTTCTAGAACGTGACATTGCTAGAACTAGTTGGAACATCTTTGAAACCTCTGTACTTATGTGTATATATCTCTTATTATTTCTATGTACATGCAACTGTTACATGCTACATAAGCTAGTAATATGATCTGTCACACTTATAAAAGCTCTGATATAACCCTTCCAGAGTGTGCACAGGCCAGATTATATTGCAACATTTGCATGACAGCATAAGATCCTAGTATGAGATCAACTTCCCACTTTCCAACTTTCCAATCAAATAATTCCAACACACTATGCAGAGTGTTGGGATCGCATCAAAGCGTCATGCGGCTATTCTAGGTCTTTTTTTTTTCGATGGGATCGGCCTAGGAGCTATAGCCAAGTGCATAGAAGTGCGTAAAACATTAAGCTTAATATGGTGGAGACATTGTGTTCTATATACATATACCTAGGTAGTTAACTATACAGTATACTAGAATTAATATCAGAATGATCCATACATATAAAGCATCTTTTTTTTTTTTAAAAAAAAGCGCTCAGTTTCTACACCGTACAACACGATATTGTGTATGTTGTAGAAGTTTCCCCTGCAGGTCTCCCCGCCTGCCCCGCCTTTCCACTTCGACTTTCCCTCTTGATATTGCAAGTCTGCACTTCACTTGAAAAACCTTCGACACAGTGGCTTTTTGATATTTTCTCTTAGGAAAATCTAGAGGGCTTGCTTTGGTCTCTCCCAACCCTATCCGCACTCCTATATCCACACACCCCATCTTTTATCTTCGAAGCCGATATCCAACCTGACCATTCTCCTTTGGGGCTGGACTGATAAAAAAAAAAGTGTCACATGCGCCTGGAATGATCTCACGACATGTCTCTCAAGTATGCCTCTGCTTCCATGGCTGTTTCTCTCCGAGGCCGGCCAGGACCGGGCCCATATGACATTATTGAAGCATATATACTGACTGCCTAGTTGGGTAATGCTTGATGACCAAGATGGTTTCGTCCGTCTTCCCAACGAACGTTTGATCTACTCCTCCCCTCCTCGCACTAGTGTCTCTTTGGCCCCGCCGTCCGGATACAAAGGCCCAGAAAAACTTTCAATCCAAAGCAGTGCCGGCTGCATCCACCTCACCAACCAAAGAGTCAGTATTCGGCCATATCAAAGGACTTTCCACCATTCTAACACTCACCAGGTTGTCTACCTTCCCGCATCCAGAAGCAATGACTTCCAGTCCTTCTCCTCGCCTCTCTTGAATGTGCATGACTCCCATGTATCTGCGCCATTCTTTGGACCCAATGTATGGACAGCTCTGGTGCAACCAGTATCCGGAGGTGGCATTTCACCGTCTCTGCCTGCCGTTCAGTTGAAAGTGACATTCAAGGAGGGTGGAGCCTTTGATTTCCACACCAACTTTGAGCGGATTAAGGAACGACTCGAGCAGGCTGTTGAGAACACAAGCCAAGGCACTCGGGGGCAACAAAACGTGGATCTCTCAGCTGTTCATTTGGAAGAGTTGCCTGCATATGAAGCTCCCCCTGACGCTAGCCAAGATGCTAGACCCAGCCAGACACCAGAAGAGTCGCAAAGCAGTCGAGCATCTGACACTGGTGCCGAACCCGCGGAGCCGCCTCCTTGTTACGAGGAGGTTCAGTCACAGAGTGTAGCCCATGAGCTGGAGGAGAGGCTGCGACGGGCCACCTAATCTTTCTGGCCTCTATTTCTACGTGCCATTCTATCAAATATTTGAACTGGCCTTATTTTTTATTATCTATCTCATGTACATTATGTCCCCATCAAATTAGCAATTAGCGATACGAAAGCGGTGCTTACGCACTTAGAAATGGAGATTCGAGTTGATATGCTCGACAACGTTTATTCTCAGCGAACCATAGTAGAAGTATCCCATATCCCTGAAATCCTTAGATGTAGCAGAAACTACTCCAGTAATAACTTCCCTATAAACTGCACTTGTTAAGCCCCAAATGGTGTTGGGAGTCCACTGGCCAATCACGTGCGGCATAATTGGCGTCTCTCAGCGGCCGGGCCTTTCCGATTTTCCAGTCCGAAAGAAGAAGCTCTTGGGCAAAACCAACAACCTCCCTCAATTACCACCCCCTTCCGCTTCCCCCCACACAAGACCTCCGGTCATCATTCAATTGATCTCTGTCGCAATGGGTTTCTACGAACTTGTCTCTGACGCCTTCTCCTCCTTCGGGTTCACCGAGGCCCAGGCTGAGGCTCCCGCTCAAGACACCGAGACCGAGACTACTACTCAGGAAGAGCCCGCCGAGAAGGAGGAGCCTACCTCCACCGAGAGCGCCGAGACCGAGTCTGCTGAGACTGAATCCGCTGAGGAGACCCCCGCTGAGGAGGAGTCCACCGAGGAGTCTGCCGAGGAGGCTCCTGAGGAGGAGGCTGAGGCCGAGGAGGAGGAAGAGGAAGAAGAGGAGGAGGAGGGAGGAGGAAGAGCCTGAGGACCCCAAGCCCAAGCTCGAGGAGGGTGAGTGACCGTGCTGATTTTTCCGACCTTTGCTTTTCTATTCGCGTTCCATTGTCGCCTATGCCATGCAATCGTTGAACATGAGCTGTTGTTCGCACCAATTGGTCTTATGTGCCATGGTCCGCGCCTGGGTCATAAATCGCCAATGGCATTGCAAATACGAATTTCACCGGATTTCTCGATCGGAGACTAACTATCTTTCTCAGAGTGCGCCCACTCCGCCGTCTGCGCTCCCTACAAGCACCACTACGATGAGTGCGTTGAGCGCGTCACCCGCCAGCAGGAGGATGAGGATTTCAAGGGCCCCAAGGAGGACTGCGTCGAGGAGTGTAAGTGCAATTGACATCAATGGAATTGGCTCCCATCGAGTCCTGATTGTGCGACTAATATAACCCCAGTCTTCCACCTCACTCACTGCGTGACCGCTTGCGCTGCCCCCAAGCTCTGGAGGGAGCTGAAGTAAATGACTCTTCCATTGAGTGTTGATTTCGGCGTTCCATCCAACCCTCGCATCGATTTGGCCCACGAATAACCTTCGACCTCTACTGCGTCGCTACGGGGGATCCCTTGGACCGAAACGCCGGAAAAAAAAAACCGATCCCACTTTCATGATGGCTGCCAAGGTGGATTGATAGCCTGGTAGCTTGCCGCCTTGGATTGAGAACGCAGGATCGATCCAGAAACGTGAAATTTTGTTTCTGGTCGTTCCTTGCCGATGTGTGCGCATATGTATTGTGTTTTCAAGGTAGGGGGGGAGGGCTTAGAGGCAGCAACAAAGAATAATAGATCATTTGCCCTCCTCTTTCAGCCTTGCGTGTACAGATAGCTGGTCTTCCGCCTGTTCGAACTGTGCTTTGTTTATTCTCTTGTTTCAAAACGAATCTCATCTGTTTAGGTTGGCATTGTGCTCTGGTAGGCTAGGCTTATAGCGGTCATCCAGCTACAGGATTCATATAACTCGGCTCAGTATTGTTATGGCCGAATTATCGATCCGTAAGTATGTTCAGATCGTCAACCAGGACTAATATATCGATCCAAATCGCATCAAGTCCCTATGGGTGAGCACAAATCAGAGATATTAGGGTAACACGAATGGGGTATAACTTGAGCTGACTAGGGCCAACAGAAACAAAGTCTCGTCAAGAGCACTGTGGCACAGCAGGAAATTAGAAAGGGCGAAACAAAGAACCCTAATAGCGACCCAGTCCTCAAGTCTTGATCAGAGTATCAGTATCCGCAGCAGACTCATCAGATCTAACCCTCTTGACATTATCAACCGGCCCAGCCACCTCCCCAACCTGCTCCAACTCAACTCCACGATCAACATCCCACCTACGACGATGAACAGGCCTCCCAAAGAGCCCAATCGTCATGGGAAACGGCGCAGCCACAACAGCCACAACAGCCGCAAATATCAACGCATTCCGCATATTATACGGTGGTGCACCGCCCGCCCCAGCCTTCAACGCATCCTGAATAAGAATGAAACACGCACCAAGCAACTGCCCACCCGTCCAGCAGATAGTACTCCCAATCTCCGACGAGAGCGGGTAAGTAATCTCAGCCAGGTATTCTAGCACAATAGGCAGCATCGCGAACGACGCCGCGCCCAGCAGCGCCATAACCACATACGAAGGCGGGATTCCGGCTGCACTGCCCGGCGCGAAAATCAGCCCGATATACGTGACTGCCACCACAGGAACGAGAACCCGGATACTGCCAAGGTAGTGCTTGTACCGGTCTGTTATCGGTGACATAATTGCCGACGCGACGAGTCCTACCACGATCAGGATGGCGCCCGCAATGCCTGCTTCTGTCTCCGAGAACCCGTGCGGACTGAGGATTTGGTTTAGCAGTGAGGAGACGCTGTTGAAGAAGCCCACGTATACAGAGAAGGGGATGAAGATCTGCCAGAATTCCCGTGTGCGGGTTAGTTCGCGTATTGCTGCGCCTAGTGGCGTGTGCGGCTTTGCGGAGGATGCGCTTGCGGGTGTTGGTGGTGATGCTGGGAGGAAGAATGATGGGATTGCTGCGACGGTGGACTATTGGTTTACATGGAGTGAGCAAGAGGGAGAAAGGACCAATGAGTGGATTGTGCTTTCTTATGGGGATGGGTTTCACGTACGATGATTGAGATGTACAAGACCATATTTGGAATATCGGAGGGTTTCGTCGCCCACTCCGAATCGACTAGCTGGCCCAGGGCTGCGCCGAGCGGGTTCGCTAGACTGGCGACTGCTGTTGCACTTGTACGGCCTTTGTCGGAGAACCAGAGCTCGCTGTATCGGGTTGGTGCGCAGAGGCAGAAGGGTTGCGCGAACCCTATGAGGATCTGGCCGAACATCGCGAGCCCGTAGATGCCGCCGTTGGCTCTTGTGCCGGCATATCTGAGCCAGTTGCCGACTAGTAGGAGCGTGGCGGTGGTGATTATGGCTGGTTTGGGGCCGCCTTTGTTCAGGATCCAGATGACGATGCTGGGAATCTTGTTAATGAATGGGATACCTGGGGCGAATCTTTCTTCCTTTTGCTTTCTCTTGCTTTTCAGAACGCCGATTTATGCGTACTTACGGGCTGACAACGCAGAAGGCGAACAGGTAGCCAGTGCTCATCCAGTTAATAGCGCTCTCCGAGACATCGAAGTACTCCGCGGCCGTTGTCGAGATGGACGAGAAGGTCAACCACTGTATATGCGAGTCAGCGATATGTAAGGTCGATATATGGATCAATCGTGAAGTAGCCATACATCCCAACTGACGACGATATTCAGCAATACCAGCTGTGCCAGGCCCCAGAAACGTCGCTTATAGACCTTGTAGACAGGTCGAGAGCCCTGCTCGGTAGTTGGAGAGCGCTCAAAAGTCGACATGTCCACGGCGAATTCTGACAGACCAGATTCATTCTGTGCGGGCTTCTATAAGGAAATGAAACAAAGCGGGCATATCACATCTTTTTAGTCTCTTGGCCTTTTCCATGTCACTCTGGGGATCCGAGGCACACGAAACCGGGGTACTTGGCGGTACTTGGTCAGCCCTACTGTGACGTTGCATTGCACAAGTACTATCAAGGTACTGGAAGTCCGCAGCGGGGTTGATTGTTGGACCATGTGAGATGTTATATTAATTTACTATAAATGTAGGATATTAGAGATGTTTTGTTGCGAAGTACTACTATATCTACAATATAGTGGATTCTAAAATCATCTAAGACAAAGAAAGTGGAAATGACCTTGGAACTTCTCTCGTATACGTATTCAGGGGTAACTCCCTCTATGATATCCATATCTACGTGTACAATATACATATATTCTACATATGTACTCAGTACGGAGTATTCGATCGAACATCTCATGTAGAAATTGCCGTGGCTGAACTCTGAACTCTAAGGCGATGCCGATCGTGTGTGTTTTCTCCTTCACTCCCCGCCATCTTTTATTTAGGATCACTACCTTCGCTAAATATACAATCCCTTTCCACTATTCTCCTAACTCAGACCTACGTTTCCCTCCGATCGCAAACTCCAGGATTCATGATGCCCGACGCCCGTTCCTGAATTTCCCCTGACCATTCTACTCGGGGAGACCTCGGCCATTGAACAACCATGAATATCAGTATGCGCTCCAGCCAATCCTCCTACGGGGACCCGCGGTATCTCTCGACCATGACCGCCTCCGATGCTCCAGCTCCAGTGCCGCCGCACGGAAAGACACTCGTGGACGGGTATCGGGATGCTCTGGACCCCCAACATGAGGAGCGGTCACGATACAACCCAGTAAGTAGAGACACAACACGCCAATCTGGGGCTCCAGCTGACCATGGCCTCTTCATTTCTGGTAGCTCAACCCGACTCACCCGCGAAGCTCGGTTCTCCTGAACACCAACGACCCCGTGGCCATGTACCTGTTGACCGAAACCGCCATAGGGGGATAGCACGAATTACGAAGTCTTATCCCTCGAGGAGGTGGAAGAGCTGAAGAAGGAAGTCACGTTGCTCTCCACTCGCATCCATGGCACGAAACGGAAACTGGCGCTCGAAACAAAACTGCGTGACGCGGCGCAGTCTCTCGGTAGGCTCTACAGCCCGCCCAGCCCGCGGAGCAGCGGCGAATACGGCGCCAATGGCGGTTCGAACTCGCACCGGATGAGCCGGGGTATATTTGGTCGCAGTGGGGCTTCCGAGGCCCTCGACAAGAGCGATTCCGAACTCGCGGTCAGCCAGCGGCGATGTGAGGAGCTGGCGCAGGAACTCTGGAAGCTGGAGAAAAGGTCTCAGACGATCACACAGCGCTTGTTGGAGCACACTGCGGGTGTCTTGCAGATGACGCACAAGGGTCTCAAGAAAGGTCCCAAGAACCCTGCTCGCACGTCGGATAGCACCTATGATGATCACAAATTCGACGATCGCAGTCTTTACCGCACAACCGAACATTTGGATAGCTTTGGCGTGAACGGGAAGATCGAGACCAACGCGGCTGCCGTAATGAATACCGAGGCCATGCAGGCTACAGAACGACGGTTGGAGGAACTTAGCGAGCGCATGCATGACATGATGATACAGTCCAACCCCGGTGAATTCATCGATCCTCCTCCGCAGCTGTCAGGGGTGGAGGGCCCGTCAATCCCACAGCAACGGTCGACGCTCACTTGGACTATATCAAGAATGGCATGAATAACATCGTCTTACATAGGGGAGACGTTCCGGCTCCTACGGCTGCTCGCGATATCGACCCTGAAGCCGAGGGCGCCTGGAAACACCAACTCACCGAAATCAACAACCAAGTGCAAACCATTGTTGACCGGTTTGGTTTGACCCGTTCACCAACCTTGCCTCCGCCCCCTGACGCGTCTCACGGCGAGGGGCTGGAAGAACAACTTTCATACCTTCAGGCTGGTGTAGATGGCCTGGAGAGTCGAGTGGATGGAGTGCTTGAGCAGAAGAGTATTCTCACCACGCAAATCCAGCAGCAACGCGAGCTCAACTCCAAGTCTGACGCCGAACGCGATGCCCATATCGGCGATCTGACGGAACAGTTGACCCACGTTCGCAGAGACCTTGAAGTATCTGAGCGTGAAGCCAACGCCAGTCGCGACGAGCTGGCTCTTGTCATGGAACAGCTCAACGCAATGCGCCACAATGGCTCTTCCCAGGACGAAGCCAAGGCGACTCTAGTTCAGGCCGAGGGCGAAGTCGCGCGTTTGCAAAGCGTTGTTTCCTCGTTGCACACCGAAGCTGATGCCAGGATCAACGAAGTCAGCGAAGCCCGAGAAGCCCAAGATAAAGCAGAGGCTGAGGTTAAGCGCCTGCAACAATACATCGACGATGTGCAGAGAGACAACGATGTCAAATCCGAGGAAGTCAGTGATGCCCGCGACCGCGCAGAAGGTGAGGTCAAGCGCTTACAGGCCGTCATTGTATCATTGCAAAATGATACCGATGCTAGGAGCGAAGAGGCCAGAGAGGCCCGCGACCATGCGGAGGAAGAAGTGAAGCGCCTGCAGGTCATCATTACATCTTTGCAGAATGATACCGATGCTAAGCTGAAAGAGGCCATAGAGGCCCGCGATCGTGCGGAAGACGAAGTCAAGCGTCTACATGCCATTATTGAGACTTTGCAAAATGAGACCGATGCTAAGCTGAAAGAGGCCATAGAGGCCCGCGATCGTGCGGAAGACGAAGTCAAGCGTCTACATGCCGTTATTGAGACTTTGCAAAATGAGACCGATACTAGAGGCGAGGACGTCAAGGAAGCCAGGGACCGCGCGGAGAACGAGGTTCAACGCCTCCAGAGCCTCGTTGAAACACTGCAGAATGATAGCGATTCTAGATCCGAGGAAGTTAGGGGTGCTCGTGACCGCGCAGAGCAAGAAGTTGCTCAGCTCGAAGCCGCAATCCAACAGATTCGGATTCAATCTGATGCCCGTATTAAGGAAGCGGATGATCAGCGCGCAGAGTCCGACCACAACGCCACTCGCCTACAGAATGAGTTAACAGAACTTGAAGGCGAGATTGTGCGGGTCACAACTGAACTGACGATGGCCAAGGCAGAGCTGGATGGTGCCTATGGTACTCGAGCCGAGCGCGCGGCAGAGGTGGCTGCCAACCCTAGTATCCAAAGGGAGAATGATGCACTGGTTACGCGAAATATCGAGCTCACTGAAGAACTGGCTGCTCTGAAGAGCCAGCGAGGAGGTGGCGATCTTCAGCAGCGGGCGGATACTCTTGAAAGAGAACTTCGTGAGACCATCGATGACTACGAAGCCATGACGAAAGCCAGCATCGAGTTTGAGAAGGAACGAGAACGCTTCGAAAGTTTCATTGACAGTCTTCGGGATCGTTGCGAGCAACTCGAGACACAACTGGCAGAAGAACGTATTAGCTGGATGAACTTGAGTAGTCCCACATCCATGGGCCGCGATGGTGCTTCTGAGACAACATCTACCATGGTGCTCAAGAATGAGTTCAAGAAGATGATGCGTGACACGCGCAACGAGAACATGAAGATACTGAGGGTAAGTTGTATTGTACCTTTCTGTCTTTTCGGATTAACTGACACCTCCCAGGCCGAACAAGAAGAGCGCCGCAGGATTGAAGGGTTGCTGCGAGCCCTAAGAAAGGAGCACGCCCAGGTGACTGGCAAGCCAATGCCCAGCCCAGGTGGCACTCCATTATGATCATGACATTCAACGTTTTCGGGTTTAGAGCGCATATTCATTTAAGAGTGTACATATAGACTGTTTTGTATAATATTTTTCGTTTGGCTTGATCTCGGCAGGCACGATGGGGGTTTTCGAGGAAATCACATACTCATCTTTGATATTCCCACCTGTTCCTCTCTCTCCCCTATATCTTAACCTTGAGGCTTCGCTCTTTTGCCTTCAAGATGATTTCCCGAAGAATCGATCAGTCCAGTAACGCTCATTCGCAGTCTTTTTCAGCACAGAACCTCCGACGTGGGAGACACGATTCCGACTCCATTTCAGCATACGATAACCCCGACTCATCTGAGTCCATCCTAAGCGATGAAAGATCTATATACAATGCGATCAGAGTCACCACGCCAAATGAATCCAGCCCTCGCTTCTATGCGTCTCTCCTCAATGAGAACCCCGTTCGCGAGCAAGGCTTAGCGGTAAACATGGCCAGATTCGTTCTTACGGACTCACAAGATGATCATACTCCTGTCAATGTGCCAACCAGGCGAGGAAAACGACAGAGGATCATAGGGAAGCTTGGGAATCACACCAAGCTGTTATCCGACCAGTACTGGCAAGCCACACACCGGTCGAGACCTGATTGGAGTAAAACGACATCGGTGCCAGACTCCCATCAGACTTTGCATCGCAAGGCTCTTTCCCTCGATGATGGTAGTATTCGTAGGCCTAGATGGCCTGGGAGCTTGGGACCTGCGGTAATGACCGTCCAACCTCGATATCCACCCCAGAAAGAACGCCCACACCCCCCTGGCCTTCCCTCCTTCGGCACATCAGAGGCTATGAGCATCTCTCAACGGTTCATGATCCCAGACAACGGTGCACGATCACACGCAAACTTGCAAGGTGGTGGTCCTGCTGGTCAGCGTGGCGGTTCGTATAGCGACACACTAAGGAGATTATTTGGGTTGCCGTCTTCTGCGTCTCATGCTAGTGGGATTTCCGTTAATGGTATAGGAAGAGCCGAGGATGGCACGCTGGTACAGGGCCGGTTCCCGCATCGACAAAGTGGCCATGGAACGCACGTCGGTCGACCGCTACACGACCACCCTTTCCACCAACGCAATCTTCCGATTGCCCATCTCGAAACCGCAGATACAAGCCATGATCCTTATTTTGAAGCCACACACACAAAGAGTGGTCCTGGAGGAAGCCCAAGCAGGCGGGCCCAGCCTGTGACCACGTCCTCGTCTAGGCCCTTACCAACGAACCCGGCCCCTGCTGTGGTAAACCGTCCACCGCGACCCAGAGCCACTGCACTTCTCAGTTTATCACGCAATTTGGCGGAACCAAACGGCCCTACGGATTCAGCGGAATCTTCTGCCCAAGGGACCAGAGCAACTGGAGCTCATCTCCCTCCCAATCCATCGCGGCTGCATTCGGTCATCACGATGGCTGTCTGTGGCGGCGGTGCAGATGAAGGTTCTCATGCAAACACGCCCGTCTGTCCGGACATTTTGTCCTGGGTGAAATCCCATACTTACCTCTGCTGCTGCTCAGGCGGGCACGAGGAGTCGGATGATTCGCTCGGGGCAACCAGCTCGCGGGATACATATGTAACCGCCCAAAGCCAGGCATCGCCTACTGCATCTCAGAATGAAAACAGTGAGGAGAATACCCGTCTTCATGCCATCCAGACATGGATCTCATCTCTGTATGGTGTCATGTTCCCAGCCTTTGTGAACCCTGCCGCTGTATAATCTTTCATTGAAGTATATGCGTCTCCACGACCTGTTGGATTGCTACTGTGGTGCTGTTTTCTTTCTTGAATGCTCAATGCGCAAACGTCTTGCTGGATACATAGTCTTATCATTAACTCGAACGTGTTCTTGCACCTTGCTTCTGTACATACAGTACCGGATTTCCTCTGCCACGTCCTGGCGTTCCCTTTCTGTTGCTCGCTAAATGGACTCTCGAGATCATCCCCAAGCTCGAATAAGGCTGGTCTTGTACAATGCCTTTCCCTTTCCTTTTCTTCCCTTTTTCCCCAGCTGAGGCACTCTGTTCAGAATAATTTCTAGAATAGCTAGGTTCATTGTCCCTTGAGGTTCCACAAGCCACGCAAACTCCACAGTAATACGACCTAACATTGATCATCGGTGCCGTAGGACGTTGAAACACACTAGTATGTCAGATTTAGCCGTTGATGCATTCAAACATTGAATGTTCTTTCTATGCGCTATTACAACAAAATATTTTGCCCAGTAAGGCATATAAGATGGCAGGGCTCAACTTAGGTGTATGAACGTAATTATAAGCACATTTACCGTTACCTTATCTCTTGGAATTAGTGACATACAGGTTTACTGTTTACGGGGGATTGGCGGATTTCAGGGGTTATCTGACACTGTTTTCAATGACATTGATATACATAGTGGGGGATTCGGTCCTGTGAGGGAGACGTGATGTCCTGAGGCCTGCCCCAGTTATACGTTTGTCCACAATCTCCTCTCATATTCCATCCCCGCTTCTCAATAACCAGTGATCAACATCCAAGCCTCTCTTCCATCGAATCAAATCAATCCGAATTTAGCAGGCGGAAAGAGTAGTCTGGCCCTTGCAGGAAGCAGTCGAGTCCAGCTTCTCGCTGTCACCGCCATCAGACTTCTCAATACCCTCGAACTCCTGGCAGACGTGGCTGACGTCTCCACAGGTGTCGCTGATGCTGGAGGTATCGCCGTAGTTGGAGTTGATTCCAACCAAGGTAGAGACGCCGGAGGCCTGGACGTTCTTGACGACGACGTGACGGGGGCTGTTGCTCTTGTTGTTGCTGCAGTTGCCGCAGGAGCGGTACAGCTTGCCGGCGTTGACAACGGTGAATCCGTCAATGGTGACGGTTCCGGCACCGTTGTGCTGAACGACCTTGTCGCTGGCCTCCTGGGCGCCACCACCCTGGATGAGGGCATCGCCGGTTCCGAGGATGGAGATGGCGTCCTGTAGGGACACGTTAGTATCGGTAGAGCAGGTCGATAATGAGATTACTCGTTACTCACCTCGCAGACATCGCGGAACCAGACGTTGGTCAGAGTGCAGGATCCCTCGCAGTGGATGCCCTCGAGCTGGTTCTCTCCGATGATGACGTTGCTCAGGGATGCGCCGTCCTTCAGGATGAACACGGCGTTCTCATCGCCTATATTCGGTTAGCTCTGTTTGTCTGGATCTCGTTTTTGATATGGACATACCAGTGTCATCATCACTGTCGCAGGCACGACCACGGTCGTACTCGCGGTTGCCCAGGTCAACATCGCCAGAGATCTCACTAGGAGAAGGCAGAGAGACAATGTCACCCACGCGAGAGGGGATGTTGAGAGTCTGGGCACTGGCAATGCCAATGAGACCGAGGAGGATAGCGCTGGAGTGCATTTTGTTCGATTGATGGTTGATGCTGGACGGTTGATCAAATCGAGGGTCGACAAGGAGCCTTTTATACCTTTTGGAGCTCTAATTGCTCTCACAAGACAGGACCTACCCGTACTGTTTCAGTCACATAGACTCCCGGCTGCCGCACGCCTCAATATCCATGAAGGAATTCATAACCTCTGACTGGATGGAATTACCCCACGACTCCTACAAGGCAAAGCAGAGCCTAGGCCGGATATCGACCTTCCGCAGGAACATAAGACATTTTCTAACACCTTATTTTCCGTCTTGGCCCTTCATTGTGTCGTGTAGCCAATACCAAAGCATAGTTATATTGAAAATGCGAAAAGCCAAGATGCCAAGATTCGAAAGCTTTGGCATTGTGGCTGTGTCGGCAAGCCTGAAACTCCCGCATTTACAAGATCCACCAACCAAAAAGATTGTTGAGCCTCTGGCAAGTTTTGCATGGATACTATAGGTGCTTAATCTTGGGACTGGGAAGGCGAGAGGAAACTGACTGCATTTAGGGAGAGGATGAATCTATGGAGAATGGAGATATGCCGGAACTAGTCCTATCGATATATGTATACTAGTATCCGTACTAGTATACGTATGAACGTAGCTAACTAGAGCTGATTGATCTTAAAGTGGACTACACCGCACTGTGGGGCCGGGATTAGTTCCCCTTTACGGACTAATATGGACTAATATGGATGAAGAATACTCCATACAATATGGGGCACATAGATCCCCTTTGACCCTGTACGTCAAGTAAAATCAGAGAGAGCGGCCACGGGAAAGTCGAGTGTAACAGATCAGAATCAGCTCAGAAAAAAGCCCAGAGGAAGCTCTGCCGGAAAATTACTGTTTCACGGCCAAATAGCCAAATAGGCAAGTTCCAGGTAGATCCAGGTAGATCCATGGATATCTTGTTTTGAATATGAGATGCTAAGAATCTGATTGTTTACTATCATAGCTATAATGGGAAACATTCTCAAGCCCTCGCAATCACATCGATGCATGTATGTAGTTAGTATAGGTTAGACCTCTACTCCGTATACTCCCCTTGTAATCACCCAGAAACCGAGAAAGTCCAATCTTTCGGAAACAACCCATACTGCACATCATCCCTATCCCGGAAGATATCATCATAATGCGGAATACAAGTCTGCGGATCCTTAGCCTGGGCATAGTACCTATCCCCCCAACGCCTTAAACACCGGATCATTCCACATCTTGGCCATCCACGCCAGCACATCAGGCCCAGCCCCATCTAGGGAAAGGCCATAAGAGCGGAACCGCTGTATCCGAAAATCAGCCGGTGCTCCGATAATTTTTTTTTTTTTTAAAAAAAAAAGGATTTGTTGGGGAAAGGAAGAAAGAAACCCACCCAAAGAACCGGCCAGAAGAACGCATCCGCAATACTAAACCCACCAAACAAAAACCCTTCGTCAACCTCCCCCAGCTGCCCAAGTCGCTCTGTCGTCGCCTTCCGCGCCGAATCCCAGATCCGCAACATACGCGCTATCTCCGCGGCCGCGCCATCTGGGATCGGCACGTTGCCCGTGTACCTGGCGAGGAAGTTTGTGTGGAAGGTATTGCGCAGGACTGGGAAGCCGGAATGCATTTGGGCTGTGGCGCTGCGGGCTAGGGCGCGCAGGTGGCGGTCTTTGGGCCAGAGGGGGAGGGTTGGGTTTGACTCAGCGAGGAATTCGCAGATGGCGAGGGAGTCTGTTATTGTTGTTGAGGGGAGGGAGTGGCATTGGAGGATTGGGACCAGGCCTGTTGGGGAACAGGCTTTTATCTGTTTGTTTGTTTCTGTGAGTGAGTGTATACTTGGCTGGGGTTTGTGTTGAGGATGTAGGTATGTACTTCGGAGAGCTGTATGAATTGGCGTGTATGGGGGATCTGGAAGTATTCTAGTACTGCCTCGACGCGTGCTGTCCAGCCTATTTGAAGAGGGCTTGTTAGGTCTGGTGTATGGTTTGTTGCATGTGCATGTTGCATGTTGCTTACTGGAGTAGCGGGTGTGTAGCCCGATGAGGTGGTAGTCAGGGTTCGGGACAGCCATGATATGTAGAAATGAAGTGAGGTGGATGAAGTTAACCTGGAATAGACGTGAGTCCGGGAGAACTCCCAAGTTATATATCCATGGAGCCCGCGGGCGGGGTATAGTTATGAGTCACATAATTTTGATTTCCCCCAAATTGAGATGGAGGCAAGCCTGGTTTTATACCCATTGAGATTGTCTTGAGATTCGAACCTTTCTGATTGATGCTATAGTCATAATGCTATGGATCAAATGCCACACCGGCGCCATGCAAGAAGATAACAATGAGATCGAAAAAGAAGATAGAAAAAGAAACTCCGAAAAGATATGAGAATGGGATAGCCTGCAATGACTCCTAACACGGAGGTCAAGATAAGAAATACATCATTAAAGGGAAAGCAAGGGCCCATCATATGTATATGACACGACATCGAGAAGATGGACAATGAGAGAACAAGGGGACCCGGGAAATAGAGAGAAAGCGGGAAAGCAAGTAAACAATGCACCAGGCAAAGGAAACACAACGCGATCGCATGGATGCTAATAATAGGAAAATAGGAAATCGTCAAATGAATTGAGTCGTCTCTTCGTCAGAGTTCACAATTCGCGCCCAGTAAAGGGCGATGCAGGAGATGCACCGAAGTAAAACAAGAACAGATGCTGGTATTAAAAGGTGTAGCGTATAGGCGAGAGAAAGCTTAAAGCCCCTTGAAGAATGGACTCGCCTCAATTATATCTTCATCATCGCAGGCGAAATCCCATCCTACAATGCGAGGGTCCACGCTGGCACAGATGAGCTTCCGTGCGTCGAACTGCAGTTTGAACACCCTCGCAGCTGTCGAGGACCCTTGAGGTCGACGCTGATGGCCATGGTGGTGATGATGGTGAGTAGGAGGTGGGTTGAATGGCAGGGAATTGATAACCAGAGGAGGCACAAATTGTGGGTTGGAACGACCAGCGTGGGGGGTTGACATTAGCATTTTGCCCAAGTGCCGCCAGAGCCTGCGCTGCTTGCAAGTGTTGAGCCTGGGCCGCAACAGTGGTTCGTGCCACTTGGCTGAGGTTCGCACGAGCGGAATTGGCGATGGCATCACTGTGTCGCAGTTGATGATCGGTTATCCACCTGTTATCACGGTCTTTGTGCCAGATTAAGATGGACTCGTCGTAGGAACCGGACACGATACGGGCCCAGCTACTACCTCCCCCCACCGGGTGGGATTTTTGCTCCCAGAGCAGGGATATCGCGAGGGTCCCGTGACCCAGCAGTGTTCGGTTGGTAGCCATTGCGGCGTTGCTCACGATGACCCATGTCGACATCCAATCCGGCCTCTTGCGCGGCGAAGAACGCAGCTTCACATGCTCGCGCTTCTCCGCGCAACGTTTCATCGGCTCCCGGAGCATCACCAAACCCTGCTTGAAGGGTGCGAACGAGATTACTATGAGCTCGCAGACACGCCACCTCAGCTCCGGTGGCATGATCGTAGATGCGAACGGAGTTATCATTGCTGCCACTGATGATTCTTCGGCTGTCGAACTCAACACATGCAATGCCTTTCTCGTGGCCCAGCAAGGTCTTCGAGCAAGCACCAGTGCGGATGTTCCAGACCTTGATCACTCGATCTCCAGACGCCGTCACAATATCATCACCATGGATCTGCATCGCATTCACGGCGGCTCCATGTCCTTCCACGGTCATAAGCAAGGTGTAAGGCTCTAGGGCTTTGTATTGCTCACGCGCAATTCCAGCTTCAAGAACGTTCGGTGCAACCGCGTTCAGATCTACTATCCATGTAGGATATGTGGCAGCTGATCCATGGCAGATACGCGGATAGTCCTTGCTGTTCGGCAGAAGATCCCGGCGGTTCCATACCTTCACAGTTCGGTCTTTGGAACATGTTACAAGGTAACGATGGTCGAATTTGAGATTGAGCACGGAGTCAGTATGCGCTTGTTCAATTTGATGGATCTTTTCTCCAGTGGAGAACTTCCATACAATGACGGACCTGTCGCTGCTGCCGGAGATGATGATGTTTTCCTCGGGCCGAGGATCAAATTGCAGGCAAAGGACAGACTTGATATGGCCCACCAGCGGGGGATGCCACAGTCGTTTGGTATCCAGGTTCCAGACTCGCACAGTCTTGTCTCGGCTCCCACTGACTAGCCACCGGCCTTCGAACTGGATCGCATATACGCATTCCCGATGGGCTTCTTCTGGGTGGGACGGGTCAGGAAGTTGGAAATTGGTGTATCGGCCATGATGCCAATTTGCTTCGAGCCGCCTGCGTTGCTTGTAGATATGGAAATAGTTGACTTTAGCGCTTCCATCGGTATCCCGGATGAGAAGATGCGAGCGTAGAGGTGGGTAGAGTGGCGAAGGAGATAGGGAGATATTTGTAGGCAGAGTGAACTCCGGGTCGTCAGTTGACGAAGGTGCAGCTTGATCGTCATCATCAGTCATGTAGTGATCACCTTCACTGTCGGCCACCGGGGGCTCGGGGCCAAACACGGTCGGCTTTTGGTTTCCACCGCTTCGGGAATCGAGCCAAGTAGACGGCACGCGCTTTTTCTGCTTAGGTTCCCCGAGATCTGGTTCCGAGTGTCGTAAGCGGGACTTTCGAGTCTGAGGCGACATGGCCTCGGAATGTTCTTGTTCAAACGCACGAATCGCGCTCGTGTCCATGTCCCAACCTTCATGGATGTAGTGGAATTTCCACAGACCTGAGTCAAGGATACGTTCACGCCATGAACGAGACGCAAGCGAGGCATTCAGAAGCGTCCGAGCGTCGAGGTAGGTGAAGATCTCCCATGTGACTTCCGGGGGAAGCCTGACACACGGGTCAATATGGAGGATAGGGTTAAGTCGATCAACTACTGCGGCGATGCTGGAGGTTCGAAGAGACCGAAGAAGGCTGTATGCAAGCTCTGGAGGTGGGAAACCATCGGTTAGCAAGGAAAAATCGCAAAGTGACAAGCCAAAGCGGCGGATGCTTCGCGCTCGTAGCGATTACCACAGGGACCAGGGGAAAGGGATATCTTACCAGCTCTGCCGGCCTCGGATTGGGCGAGCACCCAATTCGGAAGCGCCATGACATTGTCCGATCCGAGATCTTTGTCGGCCTGGCTTCGAGTATCATCCGAGTAGCCTTCATCTAGCTTAAAGGAGGGCGACAGAGAAAGCGCTGGGAACTCGGGGACAGTAGTTGTCTGCAATTGTAGTGTAGGGGAGATTCGAGTATCGGGAGCATCAGGAGCGTCGGGCAAGGGCTCACCCTCCATTGATGCGGGTTTTCAGAGGGGTCTGCGCCGAGTTGATGAGTCGAACGCCTAGATCAATGGCGTTGCGCGATGGGTGCGAAATCCCGCAACAACTTTCCGCGAAGAGAGTCTAGATAATTAATGAATGAGGGTAGGGTCCTTTGCAAGAGAGTTGGGCAAAGGAAGGAGGTTGAGCAGATGGGTTGGCATCGGTGCATGTCACGTCACGTTTGGACGAGGCAAGGCCCACTCTGAAGATTGATAGAGCACAATTATCGCGAACTTCCGTCGCATGAAAAGTAAAGGGGAACTTCAACTTTTCCGAATTGCCAAAAAAAAAAAGGAAAAGTAAAGAGAATTTCAATTTACATGCGGAGTCGCCTTCAAGAGCCTCTTATCACTCGATGTAATAATAAATATGTTTGATTATGTACATATGTAGGCGCGCATGGAATGAATGGGTGGTCCTGTGAGTCACGTGGTTGGAGTGTATAGGGCTGTAGCAAAACATACCGAGTTACATATTTACATACTTCATGAGAAAAGCAGGTGGTTATTGACAAAGACGAGACTATTAACGCCTCTAAGAAAACCGGGAGGGGCCGTTTCCCCAATGTGTCGTATAGTCTTGTATGGACGAGTATGTTGGGAGCAACTCATAGCATCTAGCCTGTTCTATTATATCCAGATTCCCCTATATTCTGCACGGCTAGACCATACTATGGTTAGAGGGGATACCTGATGTCTACGTAGGTATGGGAAATGGACAGCACTAATTGCATTCTGAAAATGGGTGCTAATATAGCTGTTACGAAGGGAATCGATAAATTCCAAGTGCTGTCTTATAATCGGACTGACCATTTCTAGGCGCTAAAGACAAGAGATAATAACGCTCTAGAGCAGAAAGGTTACATACCTAGGTAGTAAGTATACATGTAGTTATATCTTCAAATGTTATCTTGTGCATTGAATGTACCTTTTGTATGCGAACCACTTATAAAAGGTACATACGACTGTACTATTGTAAATCATGTTGCGCTGGGGATACTCCAGGGCTCCAGCATGTGCTCTCTCTTGTCCCTCTAGTCCTCCCCATGCCCCAAGGGCCTGGGCTGCCCTAGCCCTGGTCCCTCCAGGGCTCCAGGGCTTCCAAGGTGGATGACACAAGCAAGAACTGCCCCTCTCCACATCACACCGCCCCATAAAACACACGCTAAACCCTTTGAGGCAACTGAACAGACTCCTTCGGCTCACCTCTCTCCAAGGATCCTATTCCTCTGTTTGTTTCATCAGCAGAACTTTCGTTGTGCTTGCTCTTGTCATTTTTGGTTCTTGGTCTCCTTCTAACTGCCGAGCCCGTCTTGTTGTAGCCTCGCTTATACTATCATTCCGTGCCCCCCCTTTTTTCTCGGGACGTCGATTGTCCTCCGCTGAGTCCTAGTGACTGGCCCTTTCGCAAAGGTGTTCCTCCGAACTCTCCTTTATCTGATTTGACTCGCCTGCCCGGCTGCAGCGGTCATCTAAACATTTGAATCCCAACACCCCATCGATTGGGGTTGGCTGCAGGTCGGAATATATTCCTCGAGCCTCTCCTTTTCCTCCAGGAAGTGATAGTGTATCGTATTTGATACCCGCGCTATCGGTTCAAACAGATATATCTATATTTATCACCTGTTGTCTCTGACGCTCGAGAGCCCTTCCCCGGGAAACGCATTTAAATCGATCACGCCTGCGACCGAGTACCGATCGGATCGCTGTTGCCTCACCCCGGAATTCCGAGCGAAACTCTCGATTGACACCTCCCTGCGCCACGCAGCTCACACCCAACCGGGGAACTCATGATCGTCATCTCTCTATTTCCGACGCTTGTCGATCCCTCCGAATCTATCCCTCTTGGGTCTGCTGTGCAGATTTAAGTTGAGCCTGGCTGGTCTAACTCATCTATATCTGGACCTCGAGGAAATTCGATATGATTGACTCTTCAACCATGAGCGGCGCTCCGGTCGCCGAGGATAACATTATCAATCGCCGGGGTGGAGAATCGATCTACCAGAGCTGCGTCAATTTGAAGAGGCGACTATCCGAAGTTCCCAACTTCGAGTCATACCTGCAAGAGATGGATGATGATGATCGCATGAGAGGAAATACGGATCCGGTGGCTTCCTTGTGGAATTGCCTCAGAAATGGCTATCCGCTGTTGAGCATTTATAATGCATCTGGTCCCGATGAGCCACTAGAAATTGATCCTGGCAAGGTAACTGAGGCGAAGCGTCCAAAAGCGGCAACCTTCAAATTCCTCCAGGCCTGTTTACAAGACCTGGCATTCCCTCAGCAGGATTGCTTTTTGATCACCGACCTTTACGGCGAGAGCACCACCGGCTTCATCAAAGTGATCAAAATGGTCAACCGCGTGGTGGACATTCTCGAAATGCAAGGTCAATTAAAGCAATCTGAAGTTCTCGAGGCTCCCGCGAAGGCCAATGTGAAGCTTACCAAGCGGGAGCATATTCTAAAGGAACTTCTGGAGACGGAGCGTGACTATGTTCATCACCTGCAAAATCTCCAAGCCCTCAAGAAGGAACTGGAAGAGACGGGTGCTTTGACAGGTGATGCGAGCCATCAGATTTTCCTCAACTTAAACAACCTACTAGACTTTGCCCAACGGTTCCTGATTCGCATGGAGCAGCACTACGCCTTGCCAGAAGAAATGCAGAACTGGGGTGAGCTTTTCTTCCAGCATGAAGATGCTTTCCGGCAGTATGAGCCTTTCATTGCCAACCAGATGCGTTGTGACGAAGCTTGTATGAAGGAATGGGACAAAATCCAAAGTGCGCCACGCCACATAGATCTGCAACAAATGGTCGCTCAGCCGAAAACGCTCAATGGATTCTTTGTGAAACCCTTCCAGCGTTTGACTCGATACCCGCTGATGCTCTTGGTAAGCTTGCTAAATGCTGGGTTCAAGATCAATGAGCTAATATGGCTGTACCTTCTCAGGAGCTACGCAAACAATTAGAAGACGAGAAGCTCCAGGCTGATATCACACATGCAGTCGACTGTATTCAGAATGTGCTGGACTTTGCTAACGAGGCGATCCACAAAGAACATTTGGCTGCGGCGGTAGTTGATCTATCTGAGCGCGTGGATGACTGGAAAGCATTGAAGATGGAGTCATTTGGAGATCTCCTTCGATTTGGCACTTTCCAGGTTGTCAAGGGAGATAGTGGAAAGGATAGCGAGAGAGAGGTATGGTCTTACTTTCTGCGTCTTACGCTTTCTTGTTCCCCGAAATGGAACATCACTAACATGGCCCCTAGTACCATATCTATCTCTTCGAGCGAATACTTCTCTGTTGCAAAGATATCAACCCCAACAAGCAAAAGTCAAAGCTTATGATGCAGAAAGATAAGCCGTCTTTGACTGCGAAAGGAAAGGCTCGTCTTCAACTGAAAGGTCGAATCTACATGGCCAACGTCACAGATATCGTTTGTCTTCAAAAGCCTGGTAAGCATTACTCTTGGCTTGTTAGGTTAAGAAATATGTCTCTAATCGATTCCAACAGGACTCTACCGTATTCAGATTTTCTGGAAAGGGGACCCTGGTGTTGTCGACAACTTTATCATCCGATATGCAAACGAAGACACCATGCGAAATTGGTACAAGGACATTGACACCCAACGGGCGATCCAAGCGGAGCGACGCACTTTGCGCAATACTGGTACATCCGACAGCGAGTTCACGTACATGGAGGGCATGGCGAACATGCCCAACCCGTATCAACAAGAGTATGATACCGATGACGCCAACAGCAAAGATCCATATCATTCCGAATTCCCTATGAGCCGAAATGCCTCCAGTACTAGTCTGAGAACCCGATCTGCCACCGGTAGCAGCGCCACCTCTGTTCCTCACCCCAACGCTCGACCGCGCTATGCGGGCACTGATCCAACGCTTTCGGTGCACACTCAATTCTCCGGCAGCGGAAGCATGTCCCCTGGTGATCGAAACATGAGCTCCTACTTTTCCCCCACGGCGGAGACTCCTTCCACGAGATCGAGTTCTCAATCTGCAGGCTTCTCCTTCAGTCGCCAGAATACAAATTCCACCACTCCATCATCCGTCTGGAATGAGGATTCCCTTCGCTACACAGCACCAGCGTTGTCTCGTGTAACATCACGAGAAGGGTCAACCTCTGGCGGATATTTCCCACCTCAGCCAAGTGGAAGAGGTGCTCAGCGCCCGTCGTTGCCTCCACTCTCGGGCCCCCAGGCTCACTCCGCAAATGGCATGACCCAGCGGATGCGGTCGGCTAGTAGCCCTGATATTCACCATCACAATAACAATCCCGAGTCACGGCGTTATATGGGAGTGCACACTATGCAGACAGTCGACAATGTCCCCGTGCCACCGATTCCGGCGCACATGGCCAACATGAAAGCCCCCGTCAGCCGCAGCCAGAACGGTTCGCCCACCAACACCCAGCTCCCCGTTCGTACCCAGCCTCCACTCCACACCACGCATTTCAACGAGCCGGAATATAACGATACCCGCCACTCTGGGCAAATCTCCGACCATGCCACATCGCCCCTGACCCAGGAGCCCGAGGAAGGAGACTACATGCCCACTCAACTCAAGGCCAAGGTGAACTTTGACGACAACTATGTCACGCTTGTAATTGCGACCAACATTTTGTTCCGTTCATTGACGGACCGTGTGGATGCCAAACTCGCTCGGTTCACCGATCGATCCATCGGAAGCAAAACCGTCCGACTGCGCTACCGCGACGAAGACGGTGATTTCGTCACGATTGATAGCGACGAGGCGGTCCAGCTTGCTTTCATGGAGTGGCGGGAACAACATCGTGATATGCTCGCCAAGGGCTTGGTGGGAGAGATCCAACTCTACTGCCAGGTGGTCGATTAGATTATTCGTTTTCTTTGCTTTCCCGCTCATTCTTGACTTAATACCTCCCTTGATTCCCCCCCCCCCCCCTGCGAGGATCGCATCGATCCCCGTCTTCT